CAGACAGACAGACAGACAGACGCACACATTGACTGTCTCTCTCTCTCTCTCTCTCCTTTCCCGCCATCCCTCGCCCTCATTCTCACCGCCTCTCTTCCGTCCCACGAGACGCAATGTACCAATACTAGAAGGGAATGGGTGTAGCCGGAACAGGGGCGCTCGTCCAGCTCTTGAAACCGCTTCTCTGGAAGTGGTGGCTAAGGAAGCTGACGACACCAACATACGGCGACTTGAACCACCTGGTTTCTGCTGCCATGAGCGGTGTGACCTGCTGCTTGCGCTTCCCGGGACAGTGGCTCGACTTTTTCTATTGTTCCACGATGCTTTGTTCCTGCCGCTGGCATGTTGCTTGCACATGTCCCGTCGTGCTGAGGTTGAACTGCGACTTGCGTAAGATCGCCGTAAACCTTGTGCCTTTCCCGCGTGGCCTGGAAAGCAAATCATTGCGATTGGGCACCCCTGCATTCAACGCTTCACACGAACACTTCCTTGGCAAGTCCGAAGAAACTACAGCTTATGGTATCACATGTCGTTGGCATTCGTTGGCCCTCGGACAGTAGACCATGTCCCCAGGCTTGCACTTCTTCATGACGGGCTTCGCGCCGCTGACCTCCCGCGGGTCGCAGCAGTACCGAGCCCTGACCGTCCCCGACTCGGAGGGCGGTCCTTGATTTCCGATGTGGATGTATCCCGAGCTTCGTAGCAGCAGGTGCCCGAGCTGACCCAGCAAATGTTCGACGCCAAGAACATGCTTCTCGGCTCAACCTCCTATAACAGCTGCCTGACAGCTTCAAGTCCTTGAGCCCGTCAACCGTCGCCCAGGATGTGCGCTGCGGACCCCCGCCACGGCCGCTACCTCACTGCGGCAGCCCTCTTCCGTGGCCGCATGTCCACGAAGGAGGCAGACGAACCTTGAACTCCCATGCTTCGTCGATTGCTTACTTGTCCTGTTTATTGACACCGAGGGCTGCAAACATGCCTGCAGGTGGATGAGCAAATGCTCAACGTTCAGAACAAGAACTCGTCCTACTTCGTGGAGTCTTGGCACGGTCGGGGTATGAATGGGATTTCGGATGAGTTTCGGGAAGCCGGATGCGGCTGAGGCTGAGCGAAAACCCGACTGGAAACCTGGGTCCCCGGGGGAACTGCAAATCTTGCTCATTTTCTCGCGATTCGCCACTCATGAACCGAGGAGTGGATCCCCAACAACATCAAGGCGTCCGTGTGCGATATCCCTCCGAAAGGCCACCAGGCAGCGATTCAAAGGCTGAAGTGCTGGGATGTCGATCATTGCTTGATGAAGGAGAAGAAGATGATGATGACGATGATTGTGATGCATACTTTTTTGATAGGTTGCGGGGCTCGCAAACGGGCCATGCTTCCTCGAAAGCATAGCTGCCAAAGAGGCAAGCAACAACAGACAGGCGTTAAACAAGTACGCGTGGCACAGTAGGCGAACAGTGGAAGGAGCGGTAGGAAGAAAGCTGCGCCAACCAACCAGTCTTGGGGAGTCGTTCTCAATCCAGTCACGATGTGAAAGGTGTTGACGTGGTTCCCAGAACAAAGAGTCGCAGGGGAAGACTATAATATACCGGTGCCCTGCCTTGTCTTTCGACTTCGACAGTTGCAGGTCTGAAGATGGCAGTCGCCTTTGCGGGAAACTCGACCGCCATCCAGGAGATGTTCAAGAGGTGCCTTCGGGTTTGCAACCGTCCGGGGATTCAGCGTACAGATTTGTCAGTGCGCTGCCTGCGCCGTATTTCTGCTCCGCTTCGAAGAGGTAGCCTGACATCCGGCAAAACAGCATGTAGTTTGTTCGCTCTCAGAAGCTTTCTGCCGCGCAGGGTGGCCGAGTACTTCACGGCCATGTTCCGACGCAAGGCTTTCTTGCACTGGTACACTGGTGAAGGCTCGCTCGAACAAGGGTCAGCGGGCTGCGGTGCCAGCAAAAGCTACAGCGCTGGAATTACGAACCCCGAATGTCAAGCGGCACCAGTAGAGAAGGTCAAACTTGCTTGCTATTAGACAACAACTTGTGCGGGCATCACACGTTCGTGACCCACAGATGCCAATTCCTGGGGCACTTCCGTGCTCAGCCTTGTAATCGTCATCTTAGGCTCATGTGGCGGGTCTCCTGCTTGGAAGCTGTCTGTTCCAACTTACGGCTTGGACGGGCATTGTCTCTTCCAATGCAGCACTAATCCCTGAGCAAAGCGAGCAGAAGCAAGACAACATTTGGCTGGACGACAAGATGCAAAACCTCCCCCCTCCGTCCTCATTGCGGCAGGCATGGACGAGATGGAGTTCACGGAGGCGGAGTCCAACATGAACGACCTGGTGTCGGAGTATCAGCAGTACCAGGCGTGCCAACAAACTCGACAGCATATGTGTCGTGACATTGCTGATGCCACTTTCCTTGCTCCTCTTTTAGCATGTCCCTTTGAGACGGCAGCTGTAAGCGTCCGGATTCGGATTGTGTCTGTTTTGGGTCAGGATGCCACCGCCGAGGAGGAAGGCGGGACAGCAGATGGTTGACGCAGCCCGAGTTCCGAGGGCGCCAGAGAGAAGAGACAACGTTGCAAGCTCTGTGGATTTCTGTGTCGGCTTTGCAGGGTTTGGTGTGAAAATTGCTGCCTCTTAGTGTGGAGCACCCCGGCTTCGCAATCTTCGCAGATGTTCGTAGCACGTTGTGGGGATCCTTGTGCCAGTTGCTTGTTGTGAAGCAAGGGGTGGATACCTGCCCTAACCGTGGAGGTGAGTTTGACGAGGAGGAGGGCGAGTACGATGGATAAGCGTGAATTGGCGCCCACCCATGCTCGCACCGCCAAACTGTTCAGACCAATGATGACCTCGACTGTGCCACTTGTCGCAAGTGGATGCAGCCGGGGGAATTCATTCCTGGCACGCTTTCAGGAAAATCCTGAAGGCAGGTCGAGCATGAAGTCACTGCAGGGGCAATGGTGCAGACAAAGGGGCTCTGCACTGAAGACCCGCACTGACATCAGGTTCCCTGCAACAGTGCATGCTCGCCTCAGCGTCTCTGAGAAGTCTCGAGCCACCTCCTTGCCGTTCATCGCCTTCCGTGCAGCCATGCGTGAGCTCGTGCACGTCCAGGGTGGCCAGTGTGCCTGGGGCAAGAATGGACATCAAGCCCAGAACCGAGAGTCTACAGGTTTATACAGGTCTCAGGTCGCCAGCCCCAGCTCTCGGGCTCTTTGTGAGTTGAGTGTTCCGTTCGGACTCCAGCTCTTGATTCGACCAAACGGCCTAGAACCCCATTGAGAGCAAGTGGGAGCATGTGGCAAAGTGGCGGTAACTCGCCACTGCCGGCATGATTCTCTGTCCATTGCAAGTAGGGTCAAGAGCGTCTTTCCGGAGGCGGCAACCAGATCGGTGCCAAGTTCTGGGAGGCGTGCCTTCACGCCTTGCCTTGCCGGGGTTTGCGAAAGTCATGCTAGAGAGACGAAAGTGGATCGTGTCTGTACCCAATTCCCTGCAACAACCCTCTGCACATGATTCCTGCCAAATCACCTCTTGGCACAGGTGATCGCCGACGAGCACGGAATCGATCCCACAGGCGCAGAGCAGAAAGCAAATGCCCACATCAAGCTTGTGCTGGTGCCGCCCGCAGAATTTTAACAGAAAGTGTTCCGGCACAATCCCTCGGCAAACGCCTCAAGCTACTCCCCTTCGAAAGACTTGTTCCTTTTTTCGGCGACAAAGTAGAAGTACATGTTTTCGGTGGGCATGCCGAGTGCCTCTTTCGGGTTCTTTTCCAGGTCGTGCTGCAGGGGGGACCCTTGAACTTGAACTTGAAGGCTGCAAGCGATCCGAATTTTCAACATGCAGGAACCTATCATGGCGATTCCGATCTGCAGCTGGAGCGCATCAATGTATCTGTGCGGCATCACTGCGAGGGTGATATATATATATATATATATATATACACATACATATGTATATAGTACATATATATATATATACACACATACACATACACATACACATACATATACATATACATATACATATACATATACATATACATATACATATACATATACATATGCAGATACAGATACAGATACAGATACAGATATAGATAGATAGATAGATAGATAGATAGATAGATAGATATATATATATATATATATGGGATGATCTTTCGCATCATGTATGAAGCGTGTTCTCCTGGGTCAGAGAGCTCGGACCGGAAAGAGCCGGGGCAGCTCAGGTGTACTTCAACGAGGCGACCGGGGGCCGCTACGTTCCCCGTGCGGTCCTGATGGATCTTGAGCCAGGCATGTCATGCGTCCTTGCCTGTGCTTGGGTCAAGCGGCGCCTCCTAGCCTCACGCGGCACAGGAACCATGGACTCCGTCCGAGCCGGGCCTTTTGGTCAGCTCTTCCGTCCCGACAACTTCGTCTTTGGACAGACAGGACAGAACAAAACGCGCTCCAACAAGCCCACCCAAGCAGAGTCATCTATCTGCATGCGTCGCGTGAGGAGCCGGCAACAATTGGGCCAAGGGTCGGGCGCCCAGTCATGGTTGTGGCTGGCCGTGGCTGGTGCTGATAGCTTTGTCACTGCGTGCGAAAGTTTTCTGATTGAGGTCACTACACTGAGGCCGTGAGCTGAGTCTTCAGCCCTTTCAGCAACCTCGTGCACATCAAACGCAGCACCAGTGCCTGATGATTTCCAAAAGCCTTTGCACCGAGGGTGCCGAACTCATTGACTCGGTGCTGGACGTCGTGCGCAAGGAAGCAGAAGGCTGCGGCAGGGCACGAAGACTACGAAGACCTCTCAACTTCGAGTCCGTCATAGTCCGTCAGTATTGTGGGCTGTCGCCTCGTGCCAGAGCCCTCCCAAAGTTTGAATCAGTTTTTCCTCAGTTTTTATCGCCTTAGAACTCCCTTGCTCAGGCTCTCGCAAGACTCCCAAGCCTGTGTCCTGGTGAGCATGGGGTCCAGAATCTTGAAACCCGCGCACCTCAAATGCATCCAGCGGTGCCTTTGCTGTGCCTTGCAGGCTGCGACTGCCTCCAGGGCTTCCAGCTCTGCCACTCGCTCGGTGGCGGGACCGGTGCCGGCATGGGAACTCTGCTCATCTCCAAGGCGGGAGCTATGCAATCCTTAGAGTTGTTTGGAACAAGTTACGCGGCCACTTTTGTGACAGGCGTCCCAAGAGACCCCAGCTCTCTCAAATCCCGAACAGCTCGAATCCTGTTTGCGATTTCCGAAAGTCTCCAGGTGAGAGAGGAGTTCCATGGATGGCACTTGAGTTAGGGGCTGAAGATCATTGTTGTCCTGAGCATTGGTTCCGCCGAGGATTTCTAGGCACTCTAAAGAGTTTGCTGCTCGTTTCACATTGCATTCAGGCGGCAGCAGAGACATGCATCTAAGGTACCCGGACCGCATCATGGAGACCTTCTCGGTGATCCCGTCGCCCAAGGTCTCCGACACCGTGGTGGAGCCGTACAATGCCGTCCTGGGCTTTCACCAGCTGGTGGAGAACTCCGACGAGTCCTTCCTGCTGGCCACTTGGCAATCTGA